TTTTTGTTATTTCAGCATTTAAAAGTCCTCTTATATTGTATTTACAATAGCAAATGTTTAGAACTAAAAATAAATAGTTCAATTATTATATATTTGTTGAAATTTAATAATATTTTAAAAAATAAAAACAAAATCAAATTAACAATTAAAAATATTATAATGTCTTCTTCTCGTTTTATTTCATTTTGGTCATTTTAGTGCTACAACTATTTTCAGAAAATATAATAACTTATTCTTTTTCAAAGTGACTGCATCTTTTTACTATTATTTTGACAAAATCCTTAACAGTTTCTTTACTGAAAACATTTCTATTGAAAAACCATTTTAACAATATTTTTTATCACTCATAGCCCAAGCACCAGCCCTGCCAAATGTGTACTTAATAGCTTATAGATGAGGAAGCCCAGTCAAACATTTAACTTTACCAATCTTTGCCCAAATTGTTTGACAGGAGACTTCTTTAATGCTAACTAACTGTTTGATGGATGTAAGTTGATTCATATTTATGAAATATTTTATGGGTGTAAATTTTTTCAGACATCATTATTTTGAACTCAAAACAACTTTGATATTTTTGGAGGCTACAGTGTAAGTAGTCGAACCTACAGTTTATTATTGGTTTTATGTTAATCAATTCTCAGATTGTTCACTGGATTTCTTGGGGGAGAAGCAAATGAATTACCACCAAAAAGACACAAATACATAGGGCACTTGTATACGGTTATTTCTTATTATTTGTTGAACACTTGATGTTATTGACGCAAAAACATGGGGCACTTGTATACCGTTATTTCTTATTGTTTGTTGAACACTTGATGTTATTGCAAATTTTATGTCATTGTAAACTCTGCTCATAACAGGTTACTGACTTACTCGGTAAACACCCTGATCTTATGGATGAGTTCAATCACTTCTTGGTGCGTTCTGAGAATATCGGTAAGTTTTGAGAATTATCACTGGTCAAATTGTTGTTATTCATACACCGCTCTTTTATTTCATCTGATTAATATCCCTTTTACAGATGGCTTCCTTGCAGGCGTTGTGAGTAAAAGTATGTTGATGCCACATATCCATCGTTACTTTCATTGATGAAAAAGATATAAGACTTTTGTCAGTTTTTTGTTTTTTCATGTCATAATCTGAGCCAATTGGAATTTGGCAATGTCCCAGGACTTCTTTAATCTGTAATGTCTGGATATTTATGTTGTAGTTATTTTTGTTGCAGAATCACTGAGTGATGGACATGTATCCAG